TTTTCCAGAATCTTTCCTGGTATTGAGGTCAAGCTGATAGGTCTATAGTTTCCTGGATCTATTTTTTTTACTTTTTTTTTGAAGATCTGCTCTTTTCCAGTCCTCTGGCAGTTCCCCGGTGCTCCAGGATCTCTGAAAGATATAGTTCAGTGGTTCTGAGATCCCATCTGCCAGTTCCTTCACAACCCTGCGGTGTAATCTGTCCGGTCCTGGTGGTTTATTTTCTTCATTTCCAGTTTTAATACCAGAACTCCTTTTATATGATAGTATTGCCATTATCTGTTTAAATGCACTCACCTATTTATTTATTTATGTTTATTTACATTTATTAGCCCGCCAATTACAACAGATTCTAGAGATAGGGAAGAGACAGGAATGCATGTGACTGACAAAAGTGGTCAAACCTTAGAAATATATCCAAATAGGTCTGGCGGAAAATGGAAACTACAAACATATTACATACATTTTCATGTACAGATGGTCCTCGACTTATGACCACAATTGAACCCAAAATTTCTATTGCTGGGACAGTCGTTAAGTGAATTTTGTCCCATTTTGCAACTTTTCTTGCCACATTTGTTAAGTGAATCATTGGAGCTGTTATCTTAGTAACAAGGTTCTTAAGTGAATCTGGGTTCCCCACTGACTTTGCTTGTTGAAAGAATGTGCCTAAGAATGTTGGAGACATACAAGTTACATAGTAAAAAGATTATGAATTGTATATTCTCTCCATTTGATCCATTGTACAACATTTTCAAAATAATCCCAATGAGTGAACTTTGCAAAGGATAAATTAAGTGTACTCTGCCTGTCTACAAAAAGTTTGCTGTTTGGATTTGCCATTTACTGGTCTAAACAAACATACTGACTGAGAAGAGAAAAATGTCATATTCTGGAAGAAAGAAGAGGAGAAATGAAAGATGAAAACCAGCATATACAGTATGTATAAAGGTTCCACCACAAAACCGCGGTCGACTAAAGCGCGTGTCACTAAAGCGCGGTGACAAAACCGCGCCGTCAAAACCGCCCGACA